GCTGCAACATGTCGATCAGGTTCGACGAGTTTGTGTGTGCTTCGGTACGAAGCGTCGCCGTAGTGTGGTCTAGATAAGATCGAAGATCATTGATCTGAGACTGAACGTCGCCAAGGTCTGTGGCCTCGGTTGGAGTTGGTCGGTTGCGGAGCTGGTCGTGGATCTCATCATGTAAAATCCTGACCGCGAAACGCCTGTGTCGCGTACGATCACAAGTTGTTGCTCCATCTGCGCGAGATAGTTGCGCAGGTTCTCGACCATCGCCGTTCGTTCACCTGAGTGTGACACCTCACGATCAACCTGGTACTGCAGTTCTCCTATGATGCGTCGATCTTCGGCGATCCTGGAATCGATGATCCCTAAGGCGCCGTCAAGATCGCGGCGTATGGCTGCAGTATCGGTGGCGTTCGTCTGAACGCTCTGTAGTAGTCCAGAGTATTGGCTGGACACGAAGGTTTCAACCTGGTCTCTGAGCTCAGCTATGTCACCTGCGGCGGACGTCTCCGCCAGCTGGTCGTCTGAGATGGAGAGGTGGGGAGCGTCAGCTTCCCTGTGTCCCCTGTCGCGGGGAGTGCATGGCCTCTGAGAGGCAGTGCGCGGGCTCGACCTGCTTTCGCCGCATGGGCCTGGGGCTCCACGGCGGTTGCGCGCGGACGAGCTGCGACTCGGACCGTGTGTGCGCGTGGTGTCTCATCCGATGATACCTTGGGGTGCCGCGTCTGCGGCTGTGCCGACACTGGTCTACTGAATTCCTCGAAGGTAGCTACGTGCTCCGCCACAGGGACGGTCGCAGGGCTGGGGGTCCCAGCGCCTGAGGTCCATCGGCGGTTAGCGCGAAAGCGCCCTGGAGTATCGAGACCAGTAAGGCTTTCGCCTGACGCGGTTGGGATTGCTCCCGACGGGGAAGGGGAGGGAGGATCGAAGGTCGGCGTGTGAAACTCCTTCCTTCCTGTTCCTACTCCTTCTCCTGTCCCCCCGCGGGCGGCGCTGCGGCGAAGTTCAGCAGCTAGTCGCGCCTCGGGTCCTTGGGAGCTGGGGGGGGGTATCTGGAACACCAACACAGTCCGCACTAATGCTCTCCAACTCGTCACCGAGCCGTCGGGCCGTGGGAGAGCTCGGACGCGAAGGGCCGATGGAACCCTTGCGGCGCATGCGCCGAAGTGGCTCCATCAGGCTCGCATGCGAGGTCACCGCGGGCGAGTCGGTGATGGTGAGCTTTAAAGGGCTGATAACCTGTGTATGGGGTTGAGGTACAAGGGTACAGAACCCCTGATCCGCTGGTAGAGAGAAGGAGGGATAGATGGATATCTTTCCCTCCCGCACGATCAAGGTCTGATCGATCTATCTCAGTACCTGAGCCCAAACGGCCAGGCGCAGGAGAGGTAAGGATAAGGAGTAAATATGAGGGTATTACACGGGTTCCATTCACAATCCTGGGGGGCACCTCGGGCCAGAGTCGGGTACACGCAAGAGTGACCCTGGGTAAGAGTGACCTTTGGTGCGCGGTTTTTTGGGGTGCGCGGGGAGACCAAACCTGGGCGCGCAAGCCGCTGCTACCGCTTCGTTTTCAGCCGTCCGAGGGCCCATCTCCCATCTGTGCCCGCACCACAGGTCACTCCGGCGAAAGGTCACTCTTGCCTCCAGTCGCCAGAGGCACTCCTGGGCAACGCCCCAGGGGTCGCCCAGCCCTCGGCGACCCGCCCGCCCCACCCGCCGCCGGCGCGCAGGCGAGCCTTGAGCCTCCCGCGGCCGCCGGCGCGCACGCGGCGCGCCCCGCCGAACTGGAGAGCCGCGGCCCGCGCCGGAACGCTGGGCGGCGTTGGTGCTAGGTCGGGCACGCCCTCCTACGGGCAGGTGTTGGAAGAACAACTGAGAGTACACAAGTAGCCGAGCAGGATCAGAACAAGACGAGCAATCGTCAACATGATATTCTCTCACTATGCCTGGATGTCCCTCCTGTAGAGGGGCATGCCCGACTTAACGCTAGTTGGTGGCGCTCACAAGGGGGTAGGGGGAGGGAAGAAGGCTTCTTAGAGGGAGGCTGGATCTTAGAAGGCTCCAGCCTTGCATCTATAGACAAGGCCCGCGCCTTCTGAGAAGCAGCCGCCTGCCAAGAAGCCCTCCCGCCTGCCCCCCCCCCCCTCTGCGCGAGGCCAAGCTGGGCAGCGTCAGAACGCCACTCGCGGAAGCTCTTGGTCGGTCCCGTGGCGCCCGCTGGCGCGCCCAATGGCGCGCACACGCAGACAGAATACGTCCTCCCCACACGGCGCTATTGGGCGCTACTGGCTGCTGTGGGGCGCTACCTGAACGCTACTCGACGCCATCGTTTGTTATCGGGCGCTATTGGGCGCCATTGAGCACCATTGGGCGCGGTTCGCCGGTATGCGCTCAACCCGAGACGAGCGGAAACTTCCGTGATGCCCTATGTTGGTGGCACTGGATAAGGAACCCTTAGATAAGGAGTCCAGGGTCTGGAAGCCAGTGGAACTCCATTCGTGGA